TTTCTCACACCTTTCTGATGGAGCCCTTGCAGCCTTTCCTCTACCTCTACGACCTCCACGACACCAAAAATTCACAGAGGACGTACAATCCCAAAAGTCGTGCGTCCGGTTGTGACCGAGGCTTTAGGAAACACTGACTTTTGTCTCACCATGGCAATGGTTGATTTTCTGGGCATCTTCGATGTTTTGTAGCAGGACTTCCAGAAGCTTTTGAGGAACAAGAGGACACTGGGAGCGACCAGAGCGCAGCCGATACACAGCAGAGCGACGGGTTTCTGCTCATCTGGGAGGACTTTCGTACCTTCATTTGACAATGTGATGAGGAGAAGGAACGAACTCTGGAGAAGAGATAAACAGGGATCACAGAATCACTCAACTAATACTACAGTCTGAAGGCAAATTAAAATCAGCAGCTGTACTGTAGACAACGAGTGGAACTTTCTTTTTAGTGTCAGTAGATATCAAACTAAGATAACACTGAACAATGTAGGACTGATGATTGTTAAGGACTAAAATGTATATGAAGTGCAAGAATTCAATCAGCTGGAACTGTGTTTATTTTTGCAGTATCAATGACAAATATGTATAAAAGCTCATTTAAAAGAGCATACCTTGCTGCACACCGCCAATCCAAACACAATGGTAGCTACTGCAGTCAAAGATATGATCTTCAGTAGTTTGATGAACTTCCAGGGTGTTCTTTCATCTTCAATGACCGGAACCTCTCGGCAGGTGTCCCACGGCCTCCTGAATAAAAACACAAAATATGAGGTGAGAAGGCGGATCTAAGATGCTCTTAAGGCAGGTCGCTGAAATTCTAATTAACAATTAAATTAATTTGATAAAATTATTAATTAGTTAGATTAGATACCCATGACCCCTACAGAGGATAAAGCAGTGAGTAGTAGATAGATAGATAGATAGATAGATGGATAGATAGATAGATAGATAGATAGATAGATAGATAGATAGATAGATAGATAGATAGATAGATAGATAGATGGATAGATAGATAGATAGATAGATAGATAGATAGATTGATAGATTGATAGATAGACAGATAGATAGAGAACTGTATTTTGTGAATGTGTGTACTTACTTGGGGATATCTCTGTCCTCCGCCATGGCGACTGTGGCAAATGGACACTTACTCTTGAATATAGTACTTATACTTGTCCATGACATCATCCATGGCTACACCCTCGTAGACACACCTACCGTGTTCTGCTGCAGGTGAGCTGGCTTCTCGGGTAAAAGGAAATCAGAGCTGAACTCAGGTTCCAAACATGTGACTACATAGTTTTGAGTTAGGTGTTCAACGGTAAATAGAATTTTGATAAACAAAAGTATGCGGCCTTTCTGACAGCAGTCAGACATTAGCCTTAAATGTGCTGGACTGATTTGAGATGTAATTAATGTAGATCTGGGAGTGTTTATGTAGTGTCATTAACTGTTGATTCTTCATCTGTGCTCAGACAGGAACACTGAGAGAAAAACTTCATCGCAGTTTAGTGGATGGATGGGAGTTTATGCTACTTAAAAAATGTACACATTTCAAATTATTTTACGCTCTAAAGGTTTAGGTGCCATATTGGAGTGAATCGGTGC